TGTTTTCATACCGGCCACACGGGGTCCTCCCTTTAACTCGAGAACACCGACGTAATCGCCTTGAGTGGTGCAGACAACGGTCACTCTGGGATCAGGAATGGAACAATATTGTCTTTAGTGACGAGTCTCGATTTTGTTTAGGCATGCACGATGGTCGTGCCAGGGTTAGAAGGCGACGTGGTGAAAGGAGGAATCCACAGTTTTTTGTTGAAAGACATGTTCATCATACTGTTGGAGTTATGGTTTGGGGTGCTATAGCTTATGGTTCCAGGTCACCTTTAATCTTCATCAGAGGTAACATGAACGCGCAGCGTTATATCCACGAAGTTCTAGAACCCCATCTTTTACCCTATCTTGACACCCTGGCAGATCCAACTTTCCAACAAGATAATGCCCGACCACATGTTACAAGAGTCACAATAGACTTCTTACAACATAATGATGTCACATTGTTACCATGGCCACCAAGATCTCTCGACTTATCCCCAATTGAGCACGTGTGGGATATGATGGGTAGGCGATTGCTCAATTTGCAACGTCCTCCTCAGACTCTAGAAGCACTTCGAGAGGAGTTGGTGGTTGCCTGGAATGAAATACCACAGGAGGACATTGACCACCTTATCAGAAGTATGCCTAGGCGCGTTGGAGAATGCGTAGCACATCAGGGTGCATCCACACATTATTAAAGGTCAAAGGGCTTTAAAGCAGTGCAATCATTTTGAATTTTTTATCATTTACTTATTATGCTTCATTAAGTACTTATACAAAATTTTATTAAAATAAAACCATTTAAACTGGGTGTTCGGATTTATATGTCACACCAAGTGTCCATTCTTGACTTTAGCTGTGACTATTATACATATAGTACCCCTTGTAACATGTAAGAAGACTGCTGGTCGTTTTGATCTTGTAGGTTATTTGAAGGTCAACTTTAAAATTTCAAATGTAAACCGCTACTTTTGGATCCGGTATTCTTACGTTCAAACGTAACCTTGAAGGAGCCTCATTGAGCCATCTCTCAAGGTCAAACTACCACTAATGCTGGCTATCGATAACTCTTCGGGGATGCACTTTAGGGGGAAATGCTTCAAATAAAAGTTGTAGGATTTTTCCTCAGCTATCACAAGGTGACCTTGGATTTGATCTTGACCTTGACACTGAAGGTCAAATTTTAAATGTAAACTCCTAATCACACTATTCGTCATTGTCTGTCAGAGCGGTCCGTAGGACCTTTGCTCTTGGTTGAAGTCTTGCAAGTCAGTAGGTCTGTCAAGAAGGGAAGAAGAAAGGAAGGGAGGAAGGAGGGAGAGCAAAGAAAAAAGAAGTGCATCAATTTGAGGGGTGCCTTGGCATTGCTAGTTAGTATTCGGCAATTTCAAATTGATCCTAAAATTATATTGGGATTGGTTGTTGAAGAAAAATTATAATTTTGGTTGGACCTAAAGTCGCACGATTTAATTTTGTTCACAGTGCGAGTCGCGGCCTTGTGTGCTTGCGAACTTGCTCGACTGTGTAGTCTACTGACTCGCGCAACAAAGGGTTGTTATGCGATTCCGCTTGATTATAACGTAGCCGCGCTTGTTGTTTGATGTAGCCCCTTAGGTAAGGGATGTCAAGGTCTCGTTGGAAACATACCATGGGGCGTTAGTGATTGTACGCAAGGTTCTGTTCTGCAAAACCTGCAGGCTATGCAAATGCGTTTTGGCGAGAAAACACCAAGCCGCACTTGCGTAAGTGATCGCAGGTCTAATAACTATCTTGTATAGCCGAACTTTGTTGATCAGACTTAATTTTGATGTTCTACATAGCATAGGGTAGAGTTGCCGAAACGAAATTTGTAATTTAGTTTTTATCGCTTCAGGGTGCTTCTGCCAGGTTATCCCCTTGTCAAGAGTCACACCGAGATACTTAGCAGAGCTTTCCCATGGTACCCGAGCTCCATTCTGCGTTTTCGAATGATTAATTTTGATCAGCCACCGATTCGCCTATTCCAATACCTCGTCCACTAAACTTTGCAGCCTGTCGTGAAGTAGATCCCCAGAGCACGACTGGGCCACCAGGGCAGTGTCATCAGCATAGAGATAGGTTTCACAGCTGCTGGGGCAAGGGACGTCATGAATAACAAGTGAATAAAGGACTGGTCCAAGAACCGAACCCTGAGGGACACCGGCTTTGATCGGCTGTGTTGTCGACAGAACGTTATTAATTTTGATCCGAAATTTCCCACCACCGAGAAAGGATTTCAAAAGTTTTAGGAGCCAAGGGGGAAGCCCTTATGGATCAATTTGTAGAAAAGACCCTTGTGCCACACCTTGTCAAATGCCTTTGAGACATCCAGTAGCAAGATGCCAGTACTTTCGTTACGGGTGAACCCGCTGGTTACTCGTTCAACAAGCCTTATGGCCTGTAGCTCCGTACGATGCTCAGACCGAAAGCCAAATTGCGCGTCAGGAATCACATTGTGGTCTGCCGAGAAATTTTCAAGGTGACGTAGAATCACCTTTTCAGTGAGTTTAGAAGGACAGTGGACTCATGGGGCGGTAATCCTGGGGGAATATCGAACCCACCTTCTTTGGAATCATTATGACATCAGCGGTCTTCCACGCCGTTGGGTCCTTAGCATGGCATTTATTATTGCCACGAGATAAGTTAAGGACTTCCGCGAAAGTAGCTTCAGCGCCTTATTAGTGATTCGATCCTCTCCAGGTGCTGTACGCACCTTGAGGTCTTTAATATCACCTTGGAGCTCTGCTGGTGTGCAATGCGGAGTCTCAGGAGATTCCGCTCATGTGCTCGATTGAGGAATCTTCTGAAGATTCCTCTGAGGAAAAATCACTAAGGGAGGAACTACTGCCACTGACGCCGTTGGCCCTAAAATATCTCCTGACGGATCTTACAACATGTTGCTCCTCGTCGAGGTCATTATCAAGGTCATAGTTGGGAGAGAACTGACTTTCCATTTCATCAGCGAAAACCTCGACCTTTTTCTCTCCCCTACAGACTAAGCCCCTAGGACCGTGGATGTGCGGGAGTTGTTCTCGCTTTCCGTTTCTGAGCGACTTTGCAACTTTCCAGAGAGGAATACTTGAGTCAAGCATCCCCGACAGTAAGTCGCTCCATTGCTCATTACGGAATTCATGAAGAGCATTTCTCACTTCATGAAGAAGATTAGTTGCTCTGTGAATGTCATCTGGATGACGAGACCTCTTCGCTTGCTTAATTGCAGCTCTTTTGTCAGAAATTGTCTGCAGGGAGAAACTCCTAATCTTGACGCCGGCAATGAAGCAAGCGAAATATATGACCTTGACCGTCATATTTGACCTCGTCTCGTGTATTTGAAATTCTATACATTTTCTAGCGTTCCTGGTTCTATAGTTCGACCAGACTAATTTGTACTTATCTAGCTACCAGACGGATAAGGATAGTAACAACAAGGCAGAGGCCATTTGAGCGTTTTCGGACGTGAAAATTAAAGAAGTCTCCACAATTCCGTTTAATTGAAGCAGTAAAGCCATTTTTATTTTCGCAAAGTTAATTAGAAGCAAATTAAATTGTGCGGAAATTTCGTCGGGCAAGAACTTAAAAAAACTAATTGGGAGAACATTTTTAACGAAAGACGCGCGCCGTTAGAATCCGCCCTTATTCGATCGTTAATTCCGGTAATTTTCCCTAATAGGAAAAAATTGCGAATGTTAATGACGAATTCTTCATAAAGTTCTGATATATTACTGTCTTGAAAGGTCTGCGCCCCGCGAGAGCCATTTTTCAGAAACTCAAGGTCGCCGTGGCTTAGGAGGTTGACTCATACAACGCTGTCGTCAGTTCACGTCCGTCTAAGGAAAAAGTCCATACAGGGTCTGTCCGGAAAGTAACAGGACTCATTTTGTTCCGCCATGACTGTACTTCGGAGCGTTGCGCGCACCGACTGGATTCGATAGAGGGCGTTCCTAGCTAACGAATGAGCGGCTGGTCAGTTGTCTCGGAGGGTCAGGCGCTTTCGCGCGCCGTGTTTCTGTGAGTGGCGCAAGCCGAAAATGCAGCGTTAGTTAGAGCAGAGGTACGCGATTAAATTCTGTGTGAGACTCGGTAAATCTGCGACAGATACGTTTGATATGATCAAGCAGGCTTACTCAAGTGTTGGTTTAGCAAGAAGTGGTGTGTTTCGGTGGCACCAGGCCTTTTTGGAGGGCCGGGAAGAGGTCGCTGATGAAGATCGTGCTGGAAGACTTTCGACTTCGACAAGCACCGATAATGTGACTCGTGTGCGCAAAGTTTTGAACTCAGACCGTCGACTAAGTATTCGTTTAATCCCAGATGTTAAATTTACCAAAATCTGTGGTTCATGACATTGTGACACAGCATTTGAACATGCGCAAGGTGTGCGCGAAGATGGTCGCAAAAGTGCTCACTGACGACCAGAAATTGCGGCGAGTGGAAGTGTGCCAAGGAAATTTGAACATGTGTGAAAGTGGCCCCCAATTTTCGAATAACGTAATCACAGGTGACGAGTCGTGGATCTTTGAGTATGATACCGCGACAAAGAGGCAATCTTCCGAGTGGCACACGACGGCGTCTCCTCGCCCAAAAAAGGGAAGAATGAGCGAATCTAAAGTGAAAACGAGGCTCATTGTCTTTTTTGACATTAAAGGCAGCGTCCACCATGAATTTGTTCCTCCTGGACAAACCGTTAACGCCAAGTTTTACGTGGAAGTGCTCAGGAGACTCAAACGAAGGGTCAGTCGGGTCCGACAAGACATCGCAGCCGATTGGAAGTTGCACCACGACAACGCCCCGGCTCACACCGCCTTTCTTGTGAACAGGTACCTGACCAAGGCCGGCATCCCAACGCTTCCGCAGCCGCCCTACAGCCCAGATGTGGCCCCCCCCCGGACTTTTTTTTGTTTTCTCGCCTGAAAAAAACCGATGGAAGGCAAGCATTTTGAGACGACAGAGGGGATCCAAGCAGCATGCAACCGCGGCTCTCAAGGCTATTCCGTGACGCCTCAATGCTTGGAAATCGCGCTGGCAGCGCTGCATCGACGCAGAAGGAGCCTAGTTTTTGAAGAATTGTAACGATTGGCTCAATAAATTTTTTTTAAATCGACTCAGTCCTATTACTTTCCGGACAAACCCTGTATGTTCCACACATCTGATAATATTGTGATGTAGAGAGTTGCCTCAATTTCCCGAACATGATCAGAATCTTCTTAAACATCAAAAACGAAGTTTGATTGATTTCTATTTAATTTTTTGCGATTTTGGCCTTTTGTGAAATTTCATCTGAACCAATGGACAGACACATTGACAGACCTACTAGCAGACATGCGGAAATAAGTACATATGTATAATTTGTCATCCAAAAGACATAATTTGTCATTTTCGAGATTTTTGGTGTGGCGTGGGAAGAAGAAACATTGCATATTTAACGATCCATCAACAATTCATAAGGCCATACGGTAGTCATAGCAACTACAGCCGAGATAAATCAGTATGAGGAATAATATACATAAAGATATATTTGTGCCTACATGAAAGCTATATTCGTCTAATTTAATTAGCTTTATGGTCTCCTTACACGGCGAAAACCATTTAGGCGTTTAAATAGAAATTCTTGTTTGCTTTTCTCGGCGTATCAGGAATGTTTTGATTATCTTAATTGATATAATTATTTGGTGGGAATCTACGTTTCTCATAGCCAGTTTTCTCGGAAAAGTGGAAAGTGAATATCGCGATCTCCACGCTAGAAAATTTAAAACGACGCCTAAGCGTTTAGATGTGGACAACTATGATATTATGCTTTGTGGCATGTGCCATTTCACCCCCTTCTGCCAGTCTATCTCGATTGCACGAAATATTCATTAAGTTTTAAAATATTTGTAGCGACAGTTTTTTTATACAGAGTGATGCATCGAAAACGAAACAAACGCATTTACTGGCAGCTCAGGTTTTTTTGGAAAAACGCTCAGACCCGTCGATTTTGTTTTCGAGGGGGACACAAGTTTGGCAAAAAATCACGTTAACACGTGCAGCCCCCTGGGCGGGGGTGACACCAACCCTAAAATCGATGATACACCTTATTTTAAAGGTCTTTCAATTCCCTTTATGATGATGTAAAATACATGAGCTTCAGTTCAGTACTTTTGAAGATTTATAACAAAATGATAAACATACCATGGGCGTAGTGAAGAAAAGCATTTACTTATTAAGTAAATTCTTTTCGTCAAATTTCTTCTGAAAGTAGTACAAACTAATCTGATGTACCTATTAAAGTCTACTTTAAGCTTTAAATCAATAAATCTTCAAAACTACTGAACTGAAGCTCATGTATTTTACATCATTATAAAGGGAATTGAAAGACCTTTAAAATAAGGTATCAGTCGACCCCCCTTCCCATTTAAGATTTTGGGGGTGGTGTCACCCCCGCTTAGGGGGCTGCACGTGCTAACGTGATTTTTTACCAAACTTGTGTCCCCCTTGAAAACAAAATTGACGGGTCTGAGCGTTTTTCAAAAAAAACTGAGCTATCAGTAAATGCGTCTGTTTCGTTTTCGAAGCGCCACCCTGTATATATATATATATATATGTCAATTAAATATATTTTATATATTTGATAAATATATTTTTTATATGTTTACAAAAAAAATTATAGATATTCATTACGTATTTTAAAAAAATGTTTGTTAATCATTTGTAGGAAAAGTTTTTTCAATATTTAATATATTTTTTTTTATATATAAATTAAATATATTTTTATATATTTAATAAATATATTTTTTATATATTTACAAAGTATTCATTAAAGGTATATGTAGTACAAGTACATGTACTATATATAAGTTATACATTTGCGCTACATTATTTCCAAATATCTACCAAATATACCATGAAAGGTTTTTATATATCTATTTTATATTTAATTTGATCAATTTGTTTGATCTAAGTTTTGTAATTCATCGAATTAATTCAATTGATTTAATTAATACAATTAATTTAATTAATCCATATAATTAAATAAATTTAATCAATATGATTAATCTAATCAATTTAATTAATACAGTTAATTTAATTAATTCAATTATCTCGATTAATTTAATTAATCTGATTTATCCAATTAATTCAATTGATGCAATTAATTTGACGATTAATTAATTTAATGGATGTAATTTAGTTGGTTCAATTAAATCATTTATTTTAATTAATTTAATAATTCTATTAATTTAATTATTATAGTTAATTTAATTAATATGATTAATTTAACTATTGTAATTAATTTATTTAATGTAATTACCTTGTTTAATTTAATAAACCCAATTAACTTAATTAATTTGATTACCTTGATTAATCTAATTAATTAAGTTAATTTAATTAATTTAATTGATTAAATCAATTTATTTTATTTTATTAATTCGATTGATATAAATAATGTAATCAATTTATTTAATTTGATTAATTTGATTAATTTAATTATACTAAGTGACATATAAATCCGAACACCCAGTTTAAATGGTTTTATTTTAATAAAAGTAGGTGAATGTATTTATCTTACTGTAAATTACAAGTGAAAAAATTTTCAGCCTTATCAGTTGGACATTCCGGTTTTTATACTGCTTTTTTTTAATTCACTAACGCTCTAAAGATGAATATTTCAGTCGCAGTAAAGAATCAACGTTGGCGGATTTTGGTTCTTGACATCCTTTACGATCGGTTACGATGCCTAGAGTACGGAGACCTGTACGATTTCGTCAACTTAGTGAGTTTGATAGGGGCCGTATAGTGGGACTTCGGGAAGCTGGACTTTCTTTTCGGGCAATTGCAGTTAGGGTGCAAAGAAGTATAGACACTGTGGTTAGGTGTTGTCAGGCATGGCTTCGAGAAGGCCGTACGCAAAGAGCAAGGGGCACTGGACGCCGCCGTAGAACAACAGACCGTGAAGATCGCCGCCTAAGATTATTGGCCTTAAGGGACCGTTTCTCCACTACCAAGTCCATTGCAAATGAATGGTTTGCAGAACACGGAAGACCTATTGGCATGCGAAGTGTTTACCGACGAATGAGAAGTTTTGGCTTGTTTTCATACCGGCCACACTGGGTCCTCCCTTTAACTCGAGAACACCGACGTAATCGCCTTGAGTGGTGCAGACAACGGTCACTCTGGGATCAGGAATGGAACAGTATTATCTTTAGTGACGAGTCTCGATTTTGTTTAGGCATGCACGATGGTCGTGCCAGGGTTAGAAGGCGACGTGGTGGAAGGAGGAATCTACAGTTTTTTGTTGAAAGACATGTTCATCACACTGTTGGAGTTATGGTTTGGGGTGCTATAGCTTATGGTTCCAGGTCACCTTTAATCTTCATCAGAGGTAACATGAACGCGCAGCGTTATATCCACGAAGTTCTAGAACCCCATCTTTTACCCTATCTTGACACCCTGGCAGATCCAACTTTCCAACAAGATAATGCCCGACCACATGTTGCAAGAGTCACAATAGACTTCTTTCAACATAATGATGTCACATTGTTACCATAGCCACCAAGATCTCCCGACTTATCCCCAATTGAGCACGTGTGGGATATAATGGGTAGGAGATTGCTCAATTTGCAACGTCCTCCTCAGACTCTAGAAGCACTTCGAGAGGAGTTGGTGGTTGCCTGGAATGAGATACCACAGGAGGACATTGACCACCTGATCAGAAGCATGCCTAGGCGCGTTGGAGAATGCGTAGCACATCAGGGTACATGCACACATTATTAAAGGTCAAAGGGCTTTAAAGCAGTGCAATCATTTTGAAATTTTTATCATTTACTTATTATGCTTCATTAAGTACTTATACAAAATTCTAAAACCATTTAAACTGGGTGTTCGGATTTATATGTCACTTAGTATAATTGAACCGATTTGATTAGTTTAATTAATATAATCAATTCAATTAATTTGATTAATGATATTAATTTAATTAACATAGTTTATTTAATTTTAATTTTACTACTGTGCCAAGGACGAAAAAGCTTTATAGTTTTTGAAAATTGGTTCAGTGGCGTTGGAGCTAGGAGCAAAAAGATGAAACAAATAAAAATCGTTCAAACATCGTTTTTTGACATTTCAGAGGCTCCTGATCATTTTCAGGAAAATTTCCGTTGTGGCCTAAAATCGGGTATTGCGGATTATAGGGGGTGGTGTTAGATATATCTCATTTTTTAGTACTTGTAAAAATGAGTACTAAAATGATATTGAGAATCAAGACAAAGGATCAAAACATTTATTATTGTTATTATTAGATACTACTATGGGGTTGTCCAAAACAGACGCAGGAAAGTAAACGCATATTAAAACAAGAAAGATTGATATTCAAATCAAGTTGGGTACTTTATTTTGAAGGTTCATTTATACCATTTATGTATGAAAAATAATATCGCTCAAATGTTCACCACGACTGGATTTACAGACGTCCACGCGATGGTCGAAATTTTCAATGACATTTTGCAACATGGTCGGTTCTATGGCATTTATCTCGGCAATGATGTTGTTTTTGAGTTCTTGGAGGGTGGCTGGTTTGTTGACGTAGACTTTGCTTTTCAAATATACCCATAAAAAGAAGTCCAAGGGAGTCAAATCGCACGATCTTGGTGGCCATGGCACATTTCCTCTGCGCGAAATCACGCGATCACCGAAGAAGGACTGCAATCGATGGATATTGACGTTGGTTGTGTGGCATGTTGCACCGTCTTGTTGGAAATAAACATCGTCCATATCCATTCCTTCAAGTTGCGGCAAAAAATAGTCCTCTATCATCACGTGATATCGCTCAGAATTGACGGTAACGCCGTCCCCGGCCGCATTTTCGAAAAAGTAAGGTCCGATGATGGCTTTTGACCACAATGCACACCACACAGTCACTTTTTGAGGATGTATCGGCTATTCTTGATACTCACGGGGATTTTCGTTCGCCCAGATGCGGCAGTTTTGCTTGTTTACCGTCCCATTCAAAGTGAAATGCGCTTCGTCGCTGAACATGATTTTTGATGAAAAATTCGCATCAATTTGGCGGAGCCAATCTGAGAACGTTCGGCGCGAAAAATGGTCGGCCCGACGCAGCTCTTGCGTCAATTGGATCTTGTAGGCGTGTACATTCAAATCCTTGTGGAGAATGCGGAGCAAACTGGCTCTCGAAATGTCCAATTCTTGGGATCGACGCGTTGTTGATTGTTTCAGATTGTCTCTCACACTCTCCTTCACAACAGCAATATTTTCCTGTGTGCGAACACTCCTTGGCCGGCCAGAGCCTGGCAGATTTGCCACAGAACG